CGTGGCCGGCTGGGGCGTGGTCAACCACGCGGGCCGCCAACCTGATCGCTTGCAGCACGTGCGTCTGAAGGTGGTAGACCGAGCCACCTGCAACCTGCGCTCACACCACGATGGCGCCGTCACCGAGCGCATGATGTGCGCAGAGAGCAAACGGCGGGACAGCTGCAAAGTGAGCGGCAGGGGTGTGGGCCCGGCGCGAGGGCGGGACCGAGAATAGGGCAAGGCTGTGAGTGGGCAGGCTTGCTGAAGGGGCGGGGCCAGGCCTGAAAGGGGTGAGCACGTGGAAAGGATACAGCCGGGGAAAGGGTGAGGCGTGAGAAGGAAGAGCTGGGCGAGGGACGTGGCCCAGAGGGGGTAGGGCCAGGAGGGAGTGATAAGGCGGGAGTCATAAACTTATTGGCTGTGGTGTGTGGAAACCTAGAGATGGGGCGGGGCGTGCGCAGGGTTGAGAGGTGGGGCAGGCCCTGCAAAGGACAGGATGGAGGGTGGGTGGACTTAGGGAGGAGGACGTGTCCTAAACAGGGGCGGGCTAGAGGAGGAGTCGTAAGGAGGAGGGGGGTCGGGCCTGGGCGGCAAGGTTCTGAAGCCCGGCCCCACAGGGCGACTCCGGCGGCCCGCTGGTGTGCGGGGGCGTGATCGAGGGCGTGGTCACTTCTGGATCCCGCGTCTGTGGCAACTTCAAGAAGCCGGGGATCTACACCCGCGTGGCTAGCTACGTAGCTTGGATCGACAGCGTGCTGCGCCAGGGCACAGTGGCCTGAGCGGGGCTGCGGGCGGCGAGCAAGAACCCCACAATAAACGCATTCAGACCTGAGTCCAGCCAGTCTTTGTTGAGCACCTGCTGTCTGCAAGACTGGGAGGGAGGCCGGTCAGCACAAAGCCCGGCGCGGTTCCGGCCTCTGCCACACGGGAGCCCCCTTGCTCTTCCCAGTGGGGCGTGAGGACCCGCTGTGTGCGAGACCTGGAGCTGGCTGGTGCAGAGATCTTCTGACATTGTGCCCTTGAACCCGTGTCCCAGAAGGGGAAACTGGGGCTCAGAGGGGCCTAAAAGTCTCCAGAAAGCTCTTAAGTGCTGCCTTTATCATCACGGCGTGGGGGCTGCTTCTGTGATCCAGGCAAACAAGTGCAGCAACTGGGGCCCTTTGACCAAGGACTCTGCTTCTTGCCCCTTCCCCACAGATACAGGAGCGCTCAGTAGAGAGTAGCCTTGGTCAACACCCTGGAGTCAGGAAAATCAGGTGCCACCTCTCTGTGTCCCTGGGGACAGGGATGACCCTGCTGTGCAGGGGTGCTGGACTGACGTTCCCCTGCATGGACCCGACCCCACTCGCCCACAGGAAGTCAGGGCTAGGGTGGCTGTCCCAAGTTCTGATCCTGACCTCTGTGGGCCAGGGTGGAGAGTGGGATGTGGAGCTTCACACCCACCCAGCTCCAAGATCACCTGGGCACTTTCAGTCCCATGCTGTAGTCAGTGGGAGCCACAGAGGGCTCTGGAGGAGGAGGCTGAAGGGGGCCATCTTGTAAGGCTGACCTCCACGTCCTGCTGTGACACAGGGTCCCTGTCCCAGCTCACAAGGAGGCTCTGAGAATGTGCCTCCTGACCTCGGAAGTGTGGAGAAATAAGGTTATCATGAAGCCTCATGTTGGAGACACGGAACATCCATTTCACTGCGCCCTTTGGCCTATAGAACATTCCAGAAGGCGCCCACAGCGGCCGTCCCCATTGATCTCCCTGACCCCCAGCTGCTAGCTTGTCTGTGACTGGAGGAGTTTCCCGGTCACCCATCCCAGAGCTGGGGCACCAGGCTGAGGTCCAGGGCGTAAGGCTGTTTCCTGTCAGCTTTCATGGGGGCTGACCCGAGGCGAGAGATACAGACACCACTCCTGACAGACAGGCGACCTCGGACCACACAAGAAAGGAAAATCGAGTAAAGCAACAGCATGACATCAAGGGAGATGGGGTGACGGGATCTTGGCAGAAGGCCGACGATAGCTTGCAGGGATTGGAAATCGTGGCCACTGCCCGCCCGCCTGTGTCAACAGGTTCCCCAGCAGGCACCCAGGTGGGAGCAGATGGTCCCGTGCACTTGCTGTCACCCCTCCAGGCTCGGCTGCCTGTGGCTCTGGGGCGGCAGCTCGCCAACCTCACGCTGACTGAAGTTCAGAGGCAGCCTGGCACCCCTGCGGCAGCGAGCATGGTGCCCTGCGGCGGGCTGGCCTGGCCCACACCACAGGACACAGACAGCGACCAATTACTGCGTTCCAGACAGGACGCCTGGAGCAGCCTTTCCGCCTGGAGCCCGCAGGGGACCGCGACATAATCTGTGACAGCGCCTATTGGTAGCATAAAGCTGGACCCCCAGGGAATCAGGCCTGAGCTTCAGAGCGGCAGGCAGCTCGGAGAAAGAGACAGAGGAGGGCACAGATGAAAAGTCCCCTCCTACCCACCCCCCTGCTCCAGCACACACTGGGCACTGCCTAGGGGCTGGCTGACTGCCCCTGACCCAGGACACGAAGGCACAGCCAGCGGTAACCCTGGGGCTGGAGGCACAGTGCGGACTGTGAGCCAGGCCCTTGCAGGCCCAAGAGGGAAACTGAGGCATGTGGCTAAGCGCCAGGCATGTTCTAAAGGGCCACGCAGGGGCCTGACCAGACCCCACGCCTTTTGGAGACAATCTGACTGTGTAATCCATGCTGACTCTGAGCTCACGGCAATCCTGCCTCAGCCTCCTGAGTGCTGGAACTACACTTGCACCTCCCTGCTGGGGTCCGACCAGACTTCCCTCAGAGGTCTCGGATGCCCTAGAGAGGGGTAGGGCCTTGGGGTCCTCAGGCACCTGTCCTGGGTCAGCGGAGAGGAGACCCACGGCCCCAACTACTGCGTCCTATTCTGGGGCCCCATCTGGGTGCGACTGTCCTGCGGTCCAGTGGGGCCCAGTCAGGAGTAGCTGAGGGGCGCTCTCCGCCACAGCCCCCCGCACAGGCAGTTTTTGGTCCAGCGCTGCTCCCACTGCTTCACCTCCGTCGTCTTGTTAGGGGATTTGAGCATGGTGACGCAGCCGCACCTGGGGACAGGGTGGGTAAGTGGGCGGGGCTTCCAACGCCCCACCCGCCCGACTCACGTGACCCAGGGGAGCGCCTCACCCAGGCCCGGCATTGCCTGCGGGACACCCCCTCGGGGCGGGTGCTATCGTACCTGGCACAGGCCTTGCACTCCTCCGTGGGGTAGGCGCCCAGATGCAGCCTCCGAAGGTGGTCGATCTTGGGTTGACCGGGGAGCCTGGGGACAGCAGGGAGGGCATGAGAGGCGGGCATACGGTGCCAGGGCAGAGCCTCTGTCCGACGCTGACAGCGGACGGTGTCCTTCCCGGGCTGCCTTGGGCAGGGCCAGGTGGGCAGGTACCTAAGACCTGCTCCCTAGTGGGCAGCCCAGTGCCTCTGGAATCACCCAAGCCAATCCAGCATGGACTGCTCGGAACACCCTGCATCCAGGAGTGAAAAGAAGTCTGGCATGGTCCTTAGTGCTATAAAAACATGAAATAACCTTTTTTTCAATACTCTGGATTGAACCCAGTAGCAGTGAGCTACATCCCTAGCCCACTTTTAAAAGTTTTGAGAAAGTGTCTAAGCGGCCCATGCTGGATTTGAACTAGAAACCCTTCTGCCTCAGCCTCCCAGAGTGCTGGGATGATGGGCTTGCCACAGTAGGTTGCAACTTTCTTGGGGGCTGCTTCCCCGCTGGTGAGATGGGCTGGCCAAGACCCTACCCTTAGTTCAACCACGCAGCGAAAAGTCCAGCTTGGCAGGCCTGTGGCACCCACCCCTGTGGTGCAGGGAGGGGGAGGCTGTGCAAAAAAAAAGGCCCTGGAACAGCGGGAAGGAAGGAGCCCAAGGCCTGGTGCATGTTAAACAAGTGCTCACCACTGGGCCACAGCCCCAGGCCCAAAGGAAGAAGATTCAAGGGGGAGCAGCCATGCCAGGTCCTGGGGCAGTGTGTAGGAGTGTGGGCACCCCGGGGCGGGGCGGGCGCACCTGGCCAGGCCATCCAACTGTGCGGAGGGGGTACTGCCGGGCAGTGCAGGCGCCTTGCCGAACTGCAGGCGCACAGGCTGCTTGGGCTGCAGGCGGCTGACCAGGCCGTCGCTGATGGGCAGCCAGTCCAGCGTGGGCACCAGCAGCTGGCTGGGCAGCAAGCAGCACTCGTCCACCAGGGCCTCATCTGGCTCACTTGCTGGCCCTTCTTCACGGCCTGCAGGGAGGGGACACTGTCACACGACGGCCGGCCCGAGCCCTCGCCCACCGCCTGCTGGGACACACACGGACCTGTGCAGGGGACTGCAGGGCACCTGGTCCAAACCCACTCTGGCCTGTGAAGTCCCTCCTGGTCTCTGGCCCCAGTGACATCCTTTCTAAAACAGGGACCATTTAGGAACTCTGGGGCAAGTGCTGGATGGCTTGCTCAGGGGTGCAGTAGAAGAGCCTATTTGCCCAGAAATGTACAAGTTGGTGACAGGATAAACACACAGGTGCCTGTAGAAGTTCCCACCCATTGGTCACTCAGCCATGTCTAGACCTGTGCTGAGCTGGGAAAACGGGGGGAAGCCAGGTAGAGCTGTTTCTGCCTGAAATCTTACATTGTGGTAGGGGGACACCATAAGGGCTTGTATTTTGGTAGGGAGATGACAGCAGAAGGCAGGGGGTCTCACAGCATATCCAGAGCTTGGTGAGCAGGCGGAAGAGCAGGGACATGCTGTCCTGGGAGTCTGATGTGGCTGTGTACACAGGCAGGCAGCTGGGCTTCAGCAGACCCCAGATGCGGATGACCACCATCAGCTCTCGCAACATGCCCAGCGAAGTGCCGTCCCTCAGGAAGCTGTGGCCCGGCCGCAGAGGGGCACCCTGCCAGGTGGAGGTCACACTGAGCGTGTAGTCCCAGGGCACACCGGCTACTCCTGGCAAGGGGACATATGGGGGCCAGGAACGCCTCTAGAAAATACCCGGTCAGTGCCCACAGAATGGGCCCCCAGTGAGGCTGACCCCAATGTGCCCAGGAGAGTAGCCCAACTCCCAAACCGGTCCCCATGCCTGAGCTTTCTAAGTCCCCCCACCTTTAGACTTAGGGTTCACAAAGGAAGAGGGAGAGGGGAGCAAGAGGGGAGCACGGGGCGTTGCTGGAGATAGGTGGGGATGGGGCTTCGCGGGGCGGGGTGGAGGTAGGGCGCACCCCCTTTCCCTGTGGCTGTACAGGGGCACCTGGTTGGGCAGGCTGGCCAGCAGGTACAGCACGAAGTCGCCCACCCACTGCAGGAGCTGCTGCAGCGCCTGGAGCGTGTTCATGTCCAGGACAAACTCCTCCGTCTTGAGGTTGATCATGACCTTGTCAATGTCTGCAAGGGGAAGAAGAGGGCGGTGAGGGGCGGAGGGGACCTCACAGAGTATGCAGCCGTGCACACAGGGGCCTCAGTTCTTCAACCTGCACAGACTGAGCGCCCTCCTCCTGGACCGGTGCCCAGGAACTATCGGACAGCCAGGCGATGCGCCCGGTGCAGCTTGGGATGGTGACAGAAACAATCACCAGCACACGTGCGTACTGTGCTGGGGAACTGCTGGGTGAATGTCGGTGCCTGGGTGGTGGGGATAATTAAACGGCCATGAAAGAGGCACCAGGAAAAACAACACTGTGAGAGGGGTCGGGGATTTAGCTCAGTGGTTCTGTCACTCGCCCTGCAAGCCCAAGGACCTGAGTTCATATTCCCCAGTACCAAAAAACCAACGCTCAGCAAGTGCTCTACCCCTAAGCTACATCAGCAGCCCTTTTTGTATCCTTTTTTGTTTTCAGACAGGGTTTCTTGAAGTTGCTCAGGCTGGCCTGAAACTCTTGTTCTTCCTGCCTAAGCCTCCAGTGTAGCCCCGATAACAAGCCAGATGGACTCACTGTTCCTAGATGGAACCTGAACTTTTATGTAAAAAAAAAAAATTTGTTTTGAGACAGTCTGGGTATATAGTCCAGGCTGGCCTTGAACTTACTATGTAGCCCAGGCTGGTCTCTCACAGAGATCTGCCTGCAACATACTCTTAAGTGCTGAGATCACAGGCATGTGCCACCATACCTTAACTTTATGTAGCCCGCCCCCCAGAACTAGGGACTGAATTTAGGACCTCAGCCCTTTTTCATTTTTGACACAGGGTCTCCCTAAGTTTCCCAGGTTGGGCTCTGTTATGGCTGTGTCTAGATGTCCCCCCAAAACCTCATACAGTCATAGGTGGGGCATTTTGGAGGTGCTAGATCTAGAGTGTGTGAGTTTTGGATTAAGAGTATGTGATTACTCAAACTAAAAGTGTAAATAAGATCCCAACTGTATAACTGATAATGTGAAATAGGAAGAAAAGGGCTAAAGGTATAGAGGAAAGGAAATAAGGGAAAAGAAAAAAACCGGGACAAGGAAAAAATGGAAACAGTCTTTGTAAATAGGGGAGGGTGGAGGGGGTGAAGCGAGGGCAGGGGTATGGGGAAAAAATGAGAACCAAGATCTGTCATGTAAGGGTACAAGATCCCAATGATGAATGCAACTGTACTGTATACTTAAAAAGTACCAATGAACTCAATGGAAAAAAAGGCTCTGTGATCACTACATCAGTCAACTGGTTGGTTTGGTAGCCGCCCGAAAGCCAGTAGCTGAGATAAAATATAAAAGGTTCACTACTTTGCTGCAGTGCTACCTTCTGCCCACCATGAACTATTTATCCTCTGTGACGCCCCTCTGCCACGCTAGCCTGCCTTGAAGCCAGCCAATAATGGACTGAAACCTCTGCAAACTGTGTCAAATAAACCTTTCCTCCTTTAACTTTGGTTGTCTGAAATTTTGGCTCAACATCAAGAAAAGCAACTAAGGCTCAAACTTGGGCCCCTCCTGCCCCAGCCTCCCAGGGTACTGGGATGACAGGCCTGCCTCACACACCCATGGAACCTGAACTTTTACAGGAAAAGTGAAGAGTGGCCCTAGGAGGCTCGAGGCTCTGCGTGGCCATTTGTCTTGATGGAGCGTCCCAAGAGCTCATCCTGGGGTTTGGGCCAGACACCCCTCGATAAACTCGGACAACCTCAAGCCAGGAACCAGGAGCCACCACAGAGCCGGCCCTGGGGCGGCCACAGCTTCCACCCACCCACGTCGGTGATCTTGGCACAGATCTCGGCCAGCCGGTCACCGGGGCTCTTGTCAGGCGTGTTGAGGAAGTGGGGGCGCAGCAGGGACTTGAGGGTGGAGCTGATGGCCACAAGGAAGAGCTTGGTGTGGTAGTCGCACACGCGTGTCACGGTGCAGGGTGACAGCCTGCACAGGGAGGCCTTCATCGCGAGGATCCGGGTGGAGAGGACCTGCGGAGAGGGCAGGAAGCAGGACACCGGTGGATCAGGGCCTGCGCCTGGCCAGGTCACTGGAGCACGGGCTGTCTGGGGTAGTGATGGGCCTCACTGGCCTTAGGGCTGAATGCACAGCAAGACCTGCAGCCTTCCTGCCTCTGCCCGTGCAGCTGCGATGACAGGGCATGTGCTGCCACACCTGGCTTGAAAGGCTGAGTGTAAAGCACAGATGTGCCGGCGACTGCTGGGGCCAGTAGGTGTTATCAGCTGTGAACTCCGACTGGGCACCGGGCTGAGTCCCTAGCACCCTCACAACAACCTCACGTCTCTCCTGCGAGGTGTGCAGGGCGTGGGACCCGCGCCTGCGCTGCACCTTCTCTCTGCCTAGAGCTGATCTGGGCGGAGTCTAGATGCCGGCCGCTACAGTTTCCATGCACACTGTCAGGGACAGTTTCTCTCCCCTTCTGCTCTCAACCTCACATTTCCCTCCTGTCACCCTGGCCGGGGCCACGATACACAGCTGTGACCTTAAACACAGTGCTTTCTGGAAAGCGGTGCGGAAAGAATCCCGGACTGGGATCTGAGCCGGAGGTCCAGGTGCACTTGACTTTCACCAGCAAGCTTTAAATCAAGAACAAACTGGTCAGGGACTTAGCTCAGTGGTCCCGCTGCCTGCCTCCCACGCGCGAGGTCCCGAGTTCAATCCCCAGTACCCCCGGCAAAAAGGAACAAATGAAAGACTAAGGGTGTTGCTCAATGATGAGCCCTTGCCTAGTGTGCATGAGGCCAGCACCACAAAAAATATATATATATATTTTTTGAGACAGGATCTCAGCTATGTAGTTCAGGCAGTGATCCTCCTGCCTCAGCCTCTCTAGTGCTAAGGTTACAGGTATGTTCCACCACACCCAGCAAAATTAATGTTTTGAGACAGGGTCTTGCTAAGTCACTAAATTATCTAGGATGGAGTCCAACTCAAGATTCTGTTGCCTGTCTCCCAGAGGGCTGGGCTAACAGGTGTGCACCACTATAGGTGCCTAGAAATAAAACTTTGAAAACGTCAGCAGCAGGTTGGAGTCTCCACACCTCACACAACCTCACCTGTCCTCAACTGAAGACCCCACCTCACCCGCTCTCCCGGTGTCCCTCAGGCCGGCCTGGGCCCCCACGACCTCCCCTGCCCTGCTGACCCCCTCAGCCCTGACCCTGGCCGCCCGCACCTGCTGCAGCGCCGCCTTCTGGCGCGTGTACTCCTCATGCAGCCGCTCCACCAGGCTCTGCACCATGCCGGGCTGCACGTGCAGCAGGATGTCCCACCAGTCGTAGCCCGTCACCATGCAGTACTCCAGCAGGAAGAGCAGGTGGCGCAGTGCCAGGCCCACCTCCAGCGCGTGGCCCATGGAGGGCGAGATGCGCAGCATGCTGAGCTGGGGGCGAGATGCGTGCACGGACTCAACGGGAGAGGGCGCGGGGCAGGGCCAGAAACCCCACAGCTGCGGAAGGACCCTGCCCCAGGGGAGGGCAAGGCGCCAGGGTCCCCGAAACCATCCCGCCAGTCCCAGCCACAGGGGCAACTCGCACCTTCCCGTGGTTGTCAATGCCCACGAGGGCCAGGGAGGTCCAGGACAGCTGCATGGCCTTGAAGTGCACGGCGGGGCCGGTGGCCCGGGAGCGCTTGATGGCCGGCTCGTCCACGGAGCGCGCCGAGGCCGAGCTGTAGAAGACGGCCATGGTCTGCAGCGACAGGCGGTGCACGATGTGGACACTGCCATCGTGGAAGGCCAGGGCCAGCCCTGCGGAGATGTGGGGTCAGGGCCTCGGCTCTGGACCCCAGGGTGGAGGAGCTGCTCTCCCCATGTCCTTTACTTTTAGATCCCCAAAGTGAGGTGACTTCAGGCCCCAGCCCCAGCCGCAGGTGGATTCTGGACTGATGCGGGACTGGGGTGGGGGACGTGCTCCTGATGGGGACGCAGGAGGCCCTCAATACAGAGGAACCAGGCGAGCGCCCTGTGGTAGGGTCAGGGGTCAGCAAGCTGAAGGGGCGGAGCAGCCCTCTGGTGACTGACAAGGCCACCTGCACTTCCAGCGATCTTGAGAAAACCCTGTGATTTACCAACAGCCAGACTCGGCTCTGGTTCTCAGGGAAGGCAGAGGGTCCCAGCCCAAGGCCCAGCACAGAACAGAGGACCACCTCGGCTCAGAGGTGGGGAGAGGGCTGGAACACGAAGACTATGCAAATGGCTTCCAAGCCAAAGACTGAGCCTCTGTGCACCTCTCTCTGCAGGGTCCCTATAAAAGCCCTGAGTCAGCTGGGCATGGGGGTGCACACCCGTCACCCAAGCATACGGGCAGGCTGAGGCAGGAGGATCGCAAGTCAGAGTCCAGCCTGGGCAGCTCAAAAGACTTGGTGAAACTCTGTCTCAAAATTAAAAATGAAAAGGGTCCAGGTGACGTAGCTCAGTGTGAGGGTTCTCTATTTGATCCGCAGTATTACACACACACACACACAAAATGGCCCTGAGCCTAGTCAGAGTTGCACAGCTGTTCCTTCCAATGAATGGGGGAGCAGCCTGAGGTGCAGACAAGCCCCAGCCCCTTACAGCTGGGCAAACTGACTGAGGACCAGCACTGGGCTGCTAAGTACCACTCTGCATTTGAAGGAGCACAACTCCGCTGCCCAGCCCTCCAAGTTCCAAAAGCCCCCCAGGGAGGTGTGCCCCCATGAGAGCTGTAGCAGGTCCTGAGCGCCACATACCAAGGCCTGGGTAGAACTGGGTGTCGCTGGCCACCTTGAGGTCAGTGTTGGTGAGTGAGATGGGCAGCTTGGGCAGTGCCACGGCTGATACGCGGTCCAGGTCGTTGGTGGCTGAGAGGATCCGCCATTTGAGGATCATGGGCTGTTTGTCACCAACTGGAACATTGCGGGGCAGGAAAAGTGGTGGGGGAATGGAAAGAGGGGAGGGAGGCTCACAAGGCTGTCACAGTACCCTGCGGGGCACGAGCTGCCCCAAAGCCAGATGTGCTGGCATACACTTGTAATCCTAGCACTTAGGAGGCTGAGGCGGGAGGAATGCTGTGAGTTCAAGGCCAGCCTGAACCAAACAGTGAGACCCTGTCTCAAAACAAACTTATCCATCCTTGTTCTGCAAAGAGAAGGACCCAGACTGGGCCAATCAGTGTACACCAAGTACTACCAGCCAATTGGCTCATGGATGGTCACATGACCCAAGGCTGGCCAATGTGACTCAGCCCTGGGACTTGGTTCTTTCTGTACTCCATACAGAACCCAGGCACACTCTTATCATTAAGCCACATGCCAGGCCTTTCTTATTTTTTATTTTGAGACAATATCTTGTTAAGTTGCACAGGCTCGGCTTGAATTTGCAATCCTCCTGCCTCAAATTCCTGAGTGGCTCGGGTTCCAGGCACATGCCATGGCACCTGGCCAGCCCTGGGATCAGTTTTACACAACCCAGAGGGTGTGAGCTGGAGGTGGGGAGGCCTTCCTGTCCCCTGCTGGAGCCAACTCTGCAGCAGCGCCACATCACCCCAGACCCAGTATTCCCTCTAGGACCCGCCAGCTCGGGATGAGATCTCTGCTCCTCACCACCTGCATGTGAGTCCCCCTGAGAAGGCTGTGCGGGACTGACGTGGCTACAACCCCACACCCTCAGGTGAGAAAGCAGCAGCTTCCACAAATCACCTTTGGTTTTCCATCATCTGGGCTTGGCCAGTGGGGCCAGATGTCCCAAAAGTGACGGCACTAACAGGCCGGGGGAAGAGAGGGAGTCTGGGGACGGCTGGCAGCTGGTTACTGCACGGAAAAGGAACAGCAGAGGCCACCCGGCCCCCACCCAGCCTCGTGGTTCCATGACAGAAAGTGACACCCACTGTCCCGTCACCCCCAGCCCTGATCTCCTTCACACCTGCTCCTAGCCCCACAGAGAATCCCAGCCAGCATCTTCCTCCAGGGGAAACTGAGGTCCAGAGTGGCTGAGGGCACCTGCCCTGTAGCACTTAGTGGCTCTCCGGGAGGACAGAGGACAGTCAGCGTGGTAAGTGGTGCAGTGACATCACCAGGGTCAGGAACTTGACCCACACCCTGCTTCACCCCAGCACCAGTCCCTAAGTCACAGGTCAGCTGGGAGAGGGAGGAGGGCAGCCGGCAGGGGACCAGGAAGGCATGGGGGTGGTCAGGGCAAGCTAGGCAGAGGCTGCACCCCAGTCCTGTGAGGTCTGTTGGGGGTGATGAGGCCTCCTGCATGCGTGAGACGTGGTTTCAGTTGCGACAGGTTTCCAGGACCATGTGTGGGGGCAGCTGGAGGAGCCGGGACCACATGAGCCTGCATTCGGGGGACACTGCCACTCCTGACCAGTGGCAGGGCTGTGGCTGTGCCCCAGTGAGGCCCAGGGCAGGAAACGGCCAGGGGCCACCTGAGCCCCACAGAGGCCCCAACCTGTATGGAGGCCCTGACTGCCATTTGGGCGAGGTCTGGTGACTCAGAGCGATGCGGGCAGGCCGGGAAATGGCTCAGCTCCTTCACTTTAATTGCTCCCAGCCACAACAGGCAGTTCATGCAACCTCCTCCGCAAGTTGGACCCGAGGGGCCTCTTGACCCAGCTTCATTAGCGGCTTCCGATTAGCGCCCCCTGAATGCCCAGCCACTCCAGGGCCCATTAGCACTAATGGTCAGCGGGCTTTTCATCAGCAGGGATGATTCCGGAGGGGGCAGGGGCGCACAGCCTCAGCCAGGCTGAGATCCAGAGGCTTCTCAGGGGGTTCTGGGTGCTGTAAATCAAGTGGGTCTTAAGAATGAAGTGGCTTTAGAGCCAGACATGAGGGCACAGCTGTAATCCCAGCACTGAGGAGGCTGAGGCAGGAGGATCACTTCAAGTCTGAGGCCAGCCTGGGCTACATAGTGAGCTCAAGGTTAGCCTAAACTACAGAGTGAAACTGTCTCAACAAAATAAAACAAATAAGAAAAATCATTGAGTGCCTCTAAGGGTAGAGTGGGGGGGGCAATCGCTCCTGCAAGGGCTGAGGAAGCAAATACTGCAAAAGACATGAGCCAGGGGTGCACATCTTTACAAACCCAGTCAGTGCCTCCTGCCCCCAGCTTCCTTGTGCAAGGGTTTCTGGGAGATTTCACCACTCTTGGGATCTCATCAGCCTGTGGTCCAGGAGCCCTGCTGTGAATTTACCCTTTCTCAGCCTCTTCTGCTCACGACCTCACCCCAGGACCTTGGCACAAGCTGCTCCGTGGACTGGACACCTGCTGCCTGTGGGGAGCAGAGGGCTGTCCACTTGCTGGGTGACTGGGCCAAGCAACTCCCTCTCTGAGTTTCTGTTTCCCCTCCCTCCTCAGCTCCCTTGGAGTCGGAGGGAGATGGAGTGGAACAGATGAAAATGCACAAGTTAAAAACCGAGTGGCTATGGTTGTGTATTGGAGGCAGAGAGCATGCTCGGCCGCACGAGGCCCTGCGTTCCATCCCCAGCGTCCGGCATCCCCCAAAACCCCAGGAGGGCTGGCGGGGACTCACCAGGCGCGATCTGCTGGAAGATATTGTTCACCGGCAGACCCTCCTTTCGCAGGGACCAGCACTCCACCAGGCTACTCGTCTGGCTGGATGCGCAGAGCAGCACCTGCGGGTGGGAAGGTGGTCGGCTCGTGGGACAAGGACCTGGCCACCCCTGTGTCCCCTCCCCGACCTGCCTAAGCTGTGGGACCCCAGCGAGAAGCTTCACCTCCAGGGCAGCACCAGCCCGCTGTGTCCTCTCTAGAGTGGAGCCATACAGGATGGCAGATGTCACAATGGGCCCTTCCCATGAGGAAGCCGGGGGACAAAGGAAAACGTATCACGGACACATGAGACACTTGGAGCCTTAAAGATTCTCGGATGCACAGGGGACTCGGTGTGATGGGCTGAGTAAGAGCCTCAGAGATACAATGTCCTACTGGGTGTGGTGGTGTGTGGCTGCCACCCCAGCACTTGGGAAACTGAGGCAGGAGGAGCGCCGTGAGTTCAAGGCCAGCCTGAACTGTACAGCAAGAGCCTGCCTCAAAAAGAAACAAAACAAGGGCCGGGGATTTAGCTCAGAGGTTCTGCCACCCTCCTCACAAGCTCAAGGACCCGAGTTTGATCCCCGGTACCAAACAAAACAACAAAACAAAGCCAAGATAAAAGAGACACATGTGTCCTAATCCCAGGACGGGAAGACACGTCACCTCCCACAGCAGAAAGAATGCTGCCGCCGGGCTAAGTGAAGGACCCTTGGGGGACCATCCCGACCACCGGGACCCAGTGTTCTTCAGGGTCCTCCCAACAGGACGCGAGGAGCCAGGTCAGGGACCTGTCACCCCGGGGCTCAGACCCCAGGTCCTGGGTCCTGGGCGGGGAGGCACCCACCTGCTCAGACATGTCTCGGGCCAGGAACTTGAGGTGGGTGATGGCGGGAAAGCGGTCCTTGCGGTGGGGGTCGGTGGTACAGCGCATGAAGAGGGAGGGCAGGATCTCGGTGTCGATGCGGCACTTCTCGCTGACCACGCTCACGCACACCTTGTAGAACTGCACGGGCAGCGCGCTGCTGCCGTCCGCCGTGGCCACCACGATGTTGCCGCCGCCCGTGAAGGCAATGTCGGCCAGTGCCACTCGGCCACGCAGCCGGCAAAGGCTCTCGGTGGACGTGAGCACCTGCCCGCTGGGCTTCAGCAGGGACACGGTGACCAGCCCGCTGACCGTCACCGCGATCCAGCCCTCCATGGGCTTGCCGCCGAAGAGCGTGAGCGACGGCGAGAACTTCACCCGCGAGAACTTCTCACTGAAGCTGGAGGCACCGGACTGTGGGAAAGGAAGGCTCATCTGGGGGGGTCCGACACCCCCTCAACAAGCAGTACCCCAGCTCCTTTCATGTTTATCGTGAGATGGTCTTGCTAAGGCCCAAAGTTGCCCCGGCTGGGCTTGAACTTGGGATTCTCCTACGTCAGCCTCCCTCAGTGCAGGGAGGATAAGGGTGGGCCACGGTACCGCAAAGAAAGATGTTTCCATGTTGGAGAATCATGGTAAGGGTGAGGGGCCTGAACAGATGTACAGAGCAGTCACGACATCTTTCTGAAAAGGGCCACAAGCCAGCATTTTCAGTCCTGGGGCCAAGCGGTCCCTGTCATGGCCACCTGGCTTTGTGACGGCAGACAGCAGGGAATGCAGGCCGCACAGCTGTGGGCCGGGAACGCTGCTTTACACGGATGGGTGGAGGCTGTGTTCAGTCTGTGGGCTGTGCTGGGAAGAGCCCCAAGGGAACCCATAAGCACCAGTCATGGTGGCCAATTATGTTTATTAACGTGTGATTTATACGCAAAATTCACTTTTTTTTTTTTGCAGTACAGGGCACTAAATCCAGGGTCTTTCGCATGTTGGCCCTTGAGGACCCTGTGCTCAGTGAGAGATGCCAGACACAGGACACACAGCACAGGCTCCACGGACAGGAAACATCCAGGACAGGCGACTCCAGAGACAGGAAGTAGCCTCGTGGGTGCTGGGGCTGAAGAGGGGATGGGTGACTACTGAGGGGACAGGTGTGGCATCCTCCAGGGGCAATGGGATGCTCTGGATTTAGTGGTAGGGAGGGGTGGCACAGCTCTGAGAAGATACGAAAAGCCAGTGATGTTTGCCCTCTATCTCCACTGTTTTTAGCCAGCTGTGGTGGTATATGCCTATAATCCCAGGCAGGAGGAGTCCGAGTCAGAGCCCAGACTGGATAACTTAGCAAGATGCTATCTAAAAGTAAAACATAAAAAATGGCCTGGGGAAGAAGCTCAGTGCAAAAGCTCTGGGTTCCACCCCCAGTATTACACACACACACACACACACACACACACACACACACAAGGTATTAAATTAAATAAAAAAACAGACACAAGAAGACTATGGGGAGGGCCGGGGATTTAGCTCAGTGGTGCCACCTCCTGCTCACAAGTGCAAGGTCCGAGTTCAATGCCTGGTACCAAAAAAAGACTATGGGACTATGGAGGACATCCGTGGAAGGCTCCACTGTGGCCTGAAGAGGACAGAGGCCAGGACACGAGGAGAGCAAAGATGCTCTACTGCTACCCTGACTCACACCCACCAAGGCAGCTATGCCCTGAGGATCACTGGCAGTGACGGTGCCCACCCCTGACCTCATCCCCTCACCAGATCCCCACCATGACCCTGCCCTCTGGGGGAAGGTGCTTGAGGTTGAACTTGGGTAACCCTTAGCTCCAGGAGTCCCCACCCCTAACTATGGCTGAACCATAGGAAGTTACTGTACTAAAGTTCCATAATGGCTGGGTTACAGGGACAGCAGCCATCAATTAAATGTGGTTCATCAGGGACAGCAGACACCAGTTAACTGGTGGCCCAAGAAAGCACAAGTGTGAACGTGGAGCTTGATTCTAGGTGTGAACCATGCTCAAGGCTCACAAAAGAACCAAGGATGCTCAGGCTGGGAGAAGAGACAAGCTGGTGGGTGGGCACGCAGGGCACACACATCACCGTCTTGCTGAGGTGGGCACCTACCTTCTCCACGTGCAGTGCCAGCTTCACGCCGTTGTGCAGCCAAGACAGTGCCACAATAGGGTCTCCTTCCACCAGGCTGCCCACACGGCTCTCCCAGCTGTTGGCCAGATGGTCCACCATGCTCCAGCACTTGATCTGCCCATCTGCATCAGCTGAGAGCAGCCGGGAGCCTGCAGGGCAGAGCGGTGTCACAGCCTAACTGGATACAGCAGAGCATCCAGGGGTCCCAGAGGACTGACCAGGAAAGGCAGGACCTGCTGCTCAGGGACTCAGGATCCTAGCCTCACCTGACTGGTCCCACTCCAGGCAGGTGATGGCCTCGCTGTGGCCCGAGTTGATTGAGTGCACGTCCCAGGGGTGCTCGGTGTCCAGGATGTGGATCATGCGGGTCAGGTCTGCAGGGGATGGGGTCTGGTCAGCCCTGCCCACATGGGGACTCTGACGATGCCATGGCTACCGGGAAGGTCACAGAGCTGTCACTGACTATGCTGAAGGTCACAGACAAAATGTAAGAAGCTGGCTACCTCTGTGGCTGCAAACATGGTTTTAAAAGGGACCCAGAAGCCACATGTGGCGGGAGACTGAGACAGAAGGTTGAAAATTGGATCCCAGCCTAAACAATTTAGTAAGATCCTATCTCAAAATGAAAATAAAAATGGAGGCATTGCACCTCACAAGTGTGAGGTCCTGGGTTCAATCCCTCCTACCACAAATAATAAATAAGACACAGAAAAATGGTACTGGAGGAAAATGACACCAAAAGCTCAGAGTAGGCGTCTCTCCACACAAAACACCAGGTGGCATCTCTCATTATCCTGAGCCTCTGCGCTCTCTGATCCTCTCAAACAGCATGTATTTTCAGAACAATGGAGAGGCAGGCGGATCTGCAGGGGTGAGAGTCACCGAGTCACTGTGCTCCAGCCCTGTGGTCCCACGGGCGACCCCAGGTACCAGGCACAGAAGGGCTGTGACCCTCTGCTTCCTGGAGATGGGGAGGCCAAACACCCCAAGTACAGAGGGCGGGAACTTGAGACTCTGACTGCCCATCTCCGAGGGAGCAGGAAATAGTACCCTGGTCATCATTCCGCAGATCCGTGGTGAAGGCGATGAGATTGCGGCAGGACCAAGCGCAGGCAAGGGGCACTGAGGGGCAGTGGGTGCTCTTGGGCCATCTCTCCCACTCACAGACATAGGCCAGGTCCATGGTGCCCACTGCACCCAGGGCAGTCGCTGGCTCCTGCAGGAGGATGCGGAAATGAGCACCATGCTGGATGCCCAGATGGAGAAGGCCGGCTGACTGTTGCCATTTGGCACCATTATGCAGGATGCGGATGTGGACTGTACTTTGGGTCGGTTTTTGTTTTTTTTTTGAGGCAGGGGGCTGCAGCTTTAGTGCAGTATGTCTACCAGGCCTCATGGGGAGGCGGCACCCAAGTGTGGCCTGCAGACACCTGCAGAAAGGATGCTGAGGTGAGGGCTATACTTAGCCTAGGCTGTGGCCAGATCTGGAATGTGGGGAGGTGAGGGCAGGAAAGCAAGAGGCCATTCCTAGGCCTATAAGTGTCCACCCTCAGCCAGGTGGGAGCCAGCTTAGGGATCAACTTAGGTTTCATTCAGCAGGCCTCTCTGGCTGGGCTGTCTAGCAGCCAATCACAGAGGCCATGGTTACAGCCTGGCACAGCAAGAAGTCATTGCCCAGGTGCAGGTGATGGGCAAGGACAGAGGGGGTGTCAGGGGAGAATGAAAAGCAATGGACCCTGGGTCTATTCTGAGGGAAAACTGGGGGTACATGAGCGGAGGATGCTCCTGGTAGGGGCAAGGAGCAGTGCGGGAGGGACAATGGCTTTCTAAGAACCTGGCACTGATGAGAAACTGTTTCTCTTCACCCGTGCAGCGTCCATTTCACCCAATGCCCACCTTTGCTTCCCATCCTTCAAGTCTCACTGTGGACCTCCCCAAGTCGCCCCTTCAGTTCCCTGGTCCACCATAAATTCCCAGGCAGCACCCAGGGACCCCACAAGACCAGCAGACCCTGCCCCACGCTCTGCAACTGTCCCAAACACCCTCAGCTCTCTTGGCCCTGATCCCAGAACCCCAAGATCCTTAGGCCCCGCCCCCGCTCACCGATCGCCGTGGGCACCAGGTCTCAACCCCAAGTTCCCGCCCCAGGCTCCGCCCCGCGCTTCGGACTGCGTACCCAGGATCCTCTACGGCCACCTTCGCACCCCGAATCATAGGCCCCGCCCTTATGGCCGGCGCGTCCTGGGCCGCTTTCAGCGGCCGCAGTTGTCCTGAAGCCAGCAGAGCCCCCCGAATTCCCACAGCTATGTGCTCACCTGGCCGGCACGTGCGCCCAGCCGAGCGGGCAGCCGCGGCCCGTACTCGCCCCAGCGGCCGAGCTCCGGCGCCGCCATCTTTTCCGGGCCAACGAGTCGCTGGAGCTACACCGGGGCTTCGCAAAGACCTATGGGACAGAGACGGCTATGGCCCAGTTTGACTTCCGGGCTTATTTGCATATAGAAATTCTTAGCAGCCACTCTTTTTTCTATATAGTAGAAAAAAAGTTTTTGTAAACTCTGATTAATAAATATATTTAGTTCTATGTTTGGCACTAATAATATGGAAAGAGAAAGATTACTGTTTTGGAAAAGTGTTCACCCTTAGTGTAAAGAAATTTATTTTAGGTACTATAAATAGCAGGGGAGGAAGTGAGTAGTTTGTGCTCGCTTCGGCAGCACATATACTAAAATTGGAACGATACAGAGAAGATTAGCATGGCCCCTGCGCAAGGATGACACGCAAATTCGTGAAGCGTTCCATATTTTTAACCTTTTCCTAACTTTCACTGGCAGGAAACCTGAGGCTCTGATAAAATACTAATAAAACTATTGAGGAACGTTTTGCCCTTAAATTCCTTCCCCAACTTGAGTGTTTCTATTCGCTCCATATGTTGCTTTTCTCAAGTTCACAATAGGAAAACTGAGGCCCTGGTACGTGAGATACCTTATCTTGTTATTATTGGTGTGTATTAATTGTACAAATGAATGGGTTTCACTGTGACATTTTCATACTTGCATAAATCGTTTAGGTCCCGTCCCTTCTATCCCTCGTTTGCTTTTGTTTTTTTAAAAAAATTTTAGTTCCCACATAGAAGAGAACATCCTTGTCTATTTTTCTTCACATGATGTCTTGTCCCATCTATTTGCCCACAAAAGATGTCTCGGTTTTTTTTTACTCCATTCTGCATACACATACATTTTCTTGATCCACTCATCTGTTGAGCTTTAGGTCCTCCTCCAATGCCTTGGCCATTGTGAATGGTGGTAATTTGAGTATTCAGGTGACTCTACAGAGTACTGAGGTAGCTTCCTTCTGTCTACACCCAAGGAGTGGAGTTGAGCCAGATCACATGATTTTTTTTTTGTTTTTTTTTTTTTTGTACTAGGGACTGAATTTGAGACACGTGCGATGAGCGTGCAATGACTTTTTTTTAAAAAAAATCGGTGCTGGGGATGGAACACAGAACTTCATGCTTATGAGACAAGCACTAACCACTGAGCTGAATTTCCAGCCTTTTTATTGTGAGACGGTCTCAAACCGCAAGCCCATACGGTGGCTTTTTACACTGCAGGTCTTTCCGGTTTTAAGTACCATTCGTAATTCTTTTTCCAAAACTGCATTCTAGGCTGGGCACGTGCCTATAATCTCAGCATTTGGGAGGCTGAGGCAGGAGGATTGCTGAGAGTTCGAGGCCAGCCTGAACTACAGAGTAAGACTGTGTCTTCAAAAAAACAAAATAAAACAAGGGGCCTGGCATTTAGCTCAGTAGTTCCACCGCCTGCCTTGCAAGCACAAGGTCCTGAGTTCAATGTGCAGTACCAAAAAAAAAAAACAAAAAAAAAAACCCAAACCAAAAAAAAAAAAAAAAAAAAAAAAAAAAAAAAACCCAAACCAAAACAAACAAAAAAAAAAGTTCTAGGACCAGGTGTGATGTCACACTTGTCATCCCAGCACTCTGGGAAGCTTGACAGGAGGAATGAATTTTGTAGACCAGCCTAGGTAATTTAAGGAGACACTGTCTCAAAATAAAATGGGGGGCTGGTGGCATCATGGTTTTCCTCCTGAGAACCTACCCTGCTTCCTTTAGGGTGTACTTTTATCTTGCTTCTTCCTCTTTTACTCCCAAGTTTGAGCTACAGATTCTCCCTCATTCTTCACTTTTACTTATTCAAACAAAATTTGCCACCAAAAAAAAAAAAAAAAAAAAAAAAAAAAAAAAAACAAAAGGGCTGGGTGTAGAGCCACAG